CTACGATATTTCTAAACTGGTTAGTATTTATGTGAAAGAAAAAAATTGATTTATATCGCAACCTAGTCAACCACTTAAAGGCTCAAACATAGAAATATTTGGTTAACTTGATTGGTATTTCTTTTGTTGTACTCTTTTTCCCAAAATTAAGGCAAAATTGGGACATTTTCCTACTGGCATTTTTAATAATGAACCACCTAAAGGCTCAAACATAAAAATTTTCGGTTAACTTGATTGGTATTTCTTTTGTTGTACTCAATTTCCATTATTAGGCAAAATTAAGAAATTTTCCCACTGGCATTTTTAGCAATGGCCCCTTTTCAAAAATTGAAAATTTTAAACGATTCTGAAAGTTTCTGATATTAATAATGTAAAGAAATAGGCTTGCAATAAAGTAATTATCACATTATAATTTCATAATAATTTCATATTTATTTTTAAAAAAACTACAACAATAATAAATAATATATTGCGTGAATTTTCGTCGGTAAAATAGACGATTGAGTGACAATTGGCAGCCATATTTTTAATCACCAATTGTTGTATTCAATCACCGCCGGTGATAATCGTTAATTTTGCCCTATTATTTTCATCCTACTTGCAAAAAGCTAAATTGCTATTTTGCTTATATTTTTTAGAACATTAGAGACTCAATTAATGGTTATCTGAAAGAGTCAAAAACCAAAATTATTGTTTATATGTTACCCAAGAAAAAAACTCGTCATTCATTTAAATGAACACGCACTATAATTTATCTTTCCTAAGCTATCCCTAAAGTTTCTAGAAAGTTTGGTCTAAAGTCTAAGGTCATTACTTTTTGAAAGATGGCTCCCTTCGCGTGCTTTGCGGTTAACAACATTTTACTTTCCAATCATCTAGAATATCCTAAAACGATATCTTTTTAATAATCTGGTAATAGAATAAAGCAATTTACTATTGCTCTCTTGGTCATTGCACCAAAAGTGGAATTTCCACCTGTTTTCATTGAACACATTGTAGAAAGAAGACTTTCGCTAATCTTGCTCTAGCCCCTGAAACTTCCGAGCAAGGTTACTGTTCACGTCAGGTTCAGAATTTTCAATCAACCCTAATAAACAAATGTTATTTTCAAGGCTGAAAATACTCGAATAGTCCCAACCTCCGTACGAATTTTCCACTATTGATTTTATTGTTTGCAACTGTCAAGTTAGCATTTTTATGTATTTACAATTAATAGTATGATGATCGAGATCAACGACAATTTAATCAATTCACTTATTTTTTACTACAGCGTTCTTTACAAGGTTCATTATATATATATATAT